TTCAGCTTCAGGCCTGCAGCTCAGCCTCGCAGCGTCCAAGTACCCTCAGGCACTCCTCAAGAAAAGCCTAGAGAGATACACGGCCGGCACCTTGGAGAGATATCTGGCTGCATCCAAACAGTTCATAGACTTCCTTGGCCTTAGCCACCGCACCCTAACCGATATTGACGTCGCCTTCTTAGCAGACTTTCTTCATGCTTGTGAGAACAGCCTCGAGGAAGACAGAGAGGTTTGCAAAATTGGCCAAAGGCCTACTCTTAAAGCACTCTCATGGTTAGGCCGGAACGCCTACGTCTCCGTGCTTCAGCCGATCCTGCAGGCAAGCCTCATTAAAGCATTCCTCACACAGCCCACATCAGACCGGAAAGAAGCCCTGCCTTTGCCTCTAGCGGTGGTAGTGGAGTGGGAAAGGTACATATGTACACCCCACTGCCCACAAGACCTACGACTCCTACTAGGTGGCCTCTTGCTGGCTCTCCACGGGGGCGTCAGGTTTGGCGATCTGCAGCGAATACGCCTAAACAGCCTATCCCTCACGAGCTCTAGCCTAAGAGGAGTCTGTTGGCAGACGAAGACCGCCAAGCGTGGGCAGCCATTTGCAGTCACACTTCACGGCCTCTCGGGCAGATCGGTGGAATCCCTCTGGGATCTTCCGTTCCTGCAGGCAGTGCAGTCCGCCTGGTCAGCCACTGAGAAAGCTTTGGGAGCTCCGGTAGTTCCGGATTTCATCCTACCGGTGCTCACCAACCTGGGTGGCCTTTCTCGACCAGCCTCTACCTACGCAAAGCCTATGTCCTATAGCCAAAGCCTGGCGGCAATGCGCCACTTCTTGACCATTCCCTGGCAAGATGCCACCAAACCCACTCCAGTGACTGCAGAAGAAAGCCGAGCGTTTACTCTGCACAGCCTCAAAGCAAGACAACATCAAGGTCACCATAAAGGCCCAAGCGTGCAGTTGTATAGCCGTGATGACACCATCTTAGCCCTAGACCTACAAAAACAGATTTGCCTAGCTTGTGCCCAGGGCTGGAGGCCAGCCAGGCCTATAGCCAGGGGGGGACAACCCCCGACACTCGAGCCACCCTTCCATGTGGATAGGTCCCAGCCTAGCCAATCTTACAAGGTTTCAACCTTCGGCGAGGGGGTCTCGCGCTTCGGAAACCCAAAGGAAGCAGACCTAGAGAGCTTCCCTCCAGCAGACCCACCCGAGCCTCCTCCTCTAGAACCGGAGCTGGGCCTACCACCCAAGCCTACGCCTCCGCCCATACCAGAGTACGACACCGAGGCACTACTGGTGGAAAAGTTCGCCAACCAAGCCCACAGCTCCTCCGAATCCGAGAACGAACAGGAGGAGGCCCAAACCATGGAGCTCTCCACATTCAGCCTTTTCCGCAATGGCCCATGGGGAGTGATCCATGCTTGCCGAGAAAGAGAAGAAAGAGCAGCCTGCGGAGCGTCTAAGACCTCCGCAGCCTTCGCTCCCTCCTGCCCCTCGCCTCTATTTTTCTGCAAGCGTAAGGCTTGTTACAGACTGTTAGACGCGATGCCCTAGCCTCAGACGAATCTGCAGCTGCCTCAGCATCGGTTGCCTAACTAGCTTTTGCCACATGTCAACGACTGCAGCCATTTGTACATCAATTTTGCTAGTGTTCGTAGCTCGCCATGTCAGCCGATCCCTCCATGGAGCTGGAGAAGTTTTGCAAGGACCATGGGGTCCATGAAGTCCTGGCCCAAGCTCTCACCCTTAAGGGGTTGGAGACAGTGGACGATTTTGCCTATGCCTTTCCGGAGCTCCGAAGCCTCGACTCCCTTCTTTCGGGACTTTCGGAATCGGACCTGAGCGATATGGGGTCTACGGATCAGTTCCACGGGATCCATGCGGCCAGGCTCCGCAAAGCCTTAAGATTCGCCCACGATCGCAGCCAACAGCCGGCTGAGCCTACACCTACACACCAGCCCCAGATACAGCCCAGCCTTCCAGCAGCGATCCTGCCTCAAGCCTCGCCAGCCTCTTGGGTAGAGAATCTACCCCCTAAGTTAAGCCCTGAAGCGGCCCAGGAATTGGTTGCCGACTTTAAGACCAACTACCCAGGAGAGTTGCTGGACGATGATACTATGCCGAGTATCCGTCTACTCAGCCTAGTACAACACAGCCTCAAGCCAGGGGAGAAGATCCGATGGATCCCGTGGCAATTTCGCCTAAGTACAAAACAATACACTGAAATTATGGAGGCTAAGTCCTCCAAGCCTATGCGCACAGAAGCCCAGTTGCTGGCCTCAGCCCTATATGACGACACGCCTGAGATGCCGGTTGCTCATTTGCGCCTCGCCGCTAGTTGGTTGTCTAGAATTCAGACTGTCTATAGGAACGCTTGGGCTTTATGCGGAGCAGCCCACTTAAATAACCTCAAAGCCTTTGATAAAAGGGTTTTAGATCTAGCCCTCCCAGACCTAGCCGACAGCAGCCTACGTGGGCCTACCACACAGGAACTGCTCGCAGCCGATCGCAAGATCTGGGGCACTATAGGAACCTTGGTGTCCTCGGGGTGGAGCCTCGACGAAGCCCTCTGCGAGGTGACCTCCATCCGTAGCGACCTCTCCAACCTCCTGCAGCCCAGACCTAGGAATGCCTTGCCTTCCACACCCAAAAAAAGCAGAGAAAGACCTAACACCCCTACGCCCCCCCGCCTAAGCGTACTAGGACTACCCCTTTTACGCCGCCTAAGAATCTTAAAGGGAAAGGTAAGGGGGGCAAACAGGGGAAAGGCCTAGCCAACAAAGCCAAGTCCGAAGACTGGCCCTCCAATTGGGTCTACAAGGCCCATGGCAAAGTCCTATGCAAGCGCTACCAGCGCAACCTATGCACAGTGGCTAACTGCAAATTTGCCCACCTNNTGCGCCGTTCGAGGGTGTGGAAAGGAACGCTGTGCCATCCACCATGACGGCAAGACCTCGTGACTAGCCTCTCCTACCTCCTCGCCTAATCCTGCCACGGGAATGGAGGGGGCCCCCGCCTCACAATACAGTCCTCTGCCAAGTCCTCCGCTGGTCACTGGCCAGGAGGATCGCCAATCTCAGGCCCCCCAACCGGAGCACGAAGTGCAAAGCCACTCTCCAAACAAGACAGTGGTGGCATCTCAGTCCCAGCAGGACCCACCCAGGGTTCCTAGGATAGCCTCCTTCAAACGGAAGTTCGCCAACAGAGTATGGACCTCCCCTGCCTACAAGCAAGCCAGGCTGCAGGAGAGGTTTGAGCCCCTTCAGGTCCTGCTCCTAGACACCTCGGGGGACTTAGGAGCCAGGTGCAAAGCCCTAGCCAACCAAGAGGCCATCCCTTATCTTGAGCCGAGCCAGCAGCCCTCGGAACAAGAGGCAGGACTCATTTTGCAATGCCTCTGGGCCCGATCGATAATTGCAGTCATAGCCGTCTTGCCGACGATCGCACCTGACACAGAGGCAGCGACTGCCATACTACAAGCTACCGTGACGATACTAACCATACCTAGGGATCATGCTTTCCTACAGTCCCAGGAATTAGCTGCTTGTCTACACGGCTCTGCCTTTCACATGTGCCCCAGTCCGCGCCCGGGGGAAGTGGTGCTGGCTTCCACCAGAATGCCTACGTGGCCATGCCCAGACTCGCACCTACTAGCTCTCGAGGCTTTGGGGCGAGTTTGCAACTTGCCACCCCGGCATGGAAGCCTATCCGAGCTGTCATACGCCTCCCTGAGGGCCTCCGGGCCTTTTGTCACCCACCGCCCGCCCATCTGCGACGGCGCCGGAGCACCCAGCTCAGCAGACCATAGCTTGCCGCACCAGTCGCAAGCCTGGTTGAGATGGGCAAATAAGACGGACCTACCCAAGCGCGTCTTTGCACATATCAGCCAAAGCCGCCCAGATCACCCCCTCTCAGCTGATGAGCAGTCTCAAGCCCTCGAGATTCTTTGCTCTGCCTTAGACCTAGACCTAGACCTCTCTTCCATGGCAGAAATAAGTCCCGGCCAACCCTTCAGATTGGCGCTCATGCAAGCCCTAGCCCACTGTATAGAAGACCCCGATGCAGACCTACCTTCCATGCTAGTGGAAGGCGTACATACGGGAGTCTTCTCAGAAATTAAGCCCTCCGGCTTGTGGCCACCAGCCAAGCTGCAACCCCCAGCCCAGTCAGGCCTAGAAATCTGCCAAGGGAATTGGCGCCCAGCGGAAGAGGACCCGGAAACGGTCGCAGCCCTCCTAGCCGACGAAGAAGCCGCGGGCTGGATACAGCAGGTGCCAGGAGGCTTGAAAGCAGCTAAGAAAAGATGGCCTAAAGGCATTGCAGTAGGCAAGCTCAGCCTAGTGAAAGCTGAAGGCCGAGATCCTCGCCTAGTCCTAGACAGCACCATCTGTCAGGTAAACCAGATCTGCCGGATACCAGAGACGGTAACCATGCCTACAGTCCAGGAGGTTCGCCGGTCCTTCCAGCCTCAGGACCCCAGGGGTGCCTACATCTCAGCCTCTATCGATTTTAAAGCAGCCCATAAAAGGGTCAAAGTCCACGACACAGAACAAGGCCTACTGCTATTTGCCTTCAACGGTACCTTGTGGAGGTACGTAGTTTGCCACTTCGGAGCCAAGTTTTCAGCCTATTGGTGGCAAAGAGTGGGAGGCCTCATTACCAGAATCATCCACGCCAGCCTAGCCCAACATCCGCACAGAGCATGGCTATACGTGGATGACCTGCTTGCCGCCTTGCTGCGCACATCAGCCCAAGATTCTCTGCTAATCCTAGTCCTCCTCCTTTCCAGCCATGGGGCGCCCATCAGCTGGAAAAAGGCCTATGTAGGAGACAGCCTCATATGGTGCGGATGGAAGTTCAACTTTGC